TTATGGGTAAAACGTCTACGCAGTAGATAACAAAAAATGCATGTTCCTTTAAAAACTGACCACCCCTTAACCACTCCCTGATCTGGCCCTGAATCACCTAGTTAGCATATCTGGCACATGTTTTATTGTATTTTATCCTATATAAACTTTAACTGTACCCCTCTAAGGTCGCAAGTTCCTTAAGAATCCTTGCCCGTTGAAAAGCGTAACAATAAACTTTTTGCCAACTTGACTTAAAGAATGCTTGAGTCTGTGAATTCATTCCAGATGACCCCATCCTGTACTCCAAACTTTGAGGGGTCTCAACCTCTCAGACCGCAACAGATATAGACCTATTGGTTAATGAAAAGGTTTTCAGGCTTCAGGTCTTGTTAGATCAGGTCCAGCGAGTGAAGATACTGAAAGGTCAGGAAAATCTAAACTGCATAAAAACAAGCATGGGGACCCATGAACCTTATGATCCACTGTAGGTGTGAGAACATTTCCCCACATGGTATATATGCCATAACCATATACAGGTTTGTGTTGTCTTTGAAAGAAAATTCTAGTTGATCTAGAATGGGAATTTAGCAGCCTGCAGGATATGCCTCTCATTCAGGGTATTCTTAATTATTTTCAGCTTCACCACCTTCTGTTTATCAAGGATTTTCAAGGCAACACGGTTCCCAGATTCCTTGTGCTTCACAAGTATGTCTCAACTAAAGGAATCAGCTGGATTCTACTTTGCTGAAGAGTTTCCCATTTTTTTAAAAGAATTATTTGGCTTTAGCTAGAAAATCTTCTGTGCATTCTAGTTCACTGACCTTTTTGGCAGAGGCTATGGTCCCCACCTCTGCGGTGCTGGTGCTGGCTCTGGCCAGGGTTCCCCCTTCCCCCCACCTCTGCCATTGTTCCCAGCTCCCATTGAGCTCAGCTGGAAAACCACAGAGACAGACACAAATAGTTCTTAGACTGTTTCATCAAGCTCATTTGCTTTGATTTATAGAAATCTGAAGTCTTTCTGTTTTGACTTAAAAAAAATTCAACTCAATTTTTCTTCTTTTTCTTAATTTTTCCTAATGTCTGAGCCTCTCTATACTCCTCAGAATACTCAGCTTCAATTAAGTTTTCTACCATGTTTCTATTCTATCCATTGTCAAGTTCATCTTTCTTAATTTTTCTAGTAGTTAGCTTATAATTCCAATGCTAGAAAAGCCACATCTTCCTTAAAAAGAAAAAACAAAAAAACAAAACTCATTGTGATTATAAGCCAATCCGAAGGTTCCGGTGCTATGTCCACTCTATTTTAAATATATAGTTATTGCATAGTAAATGCTATATAAATGCTATACATTTAACTATATTATATATTTATATTATGATATAAGTATTATTTAAAAATTCCTTATGGAGATTTCTATTCACTAATCTTAACATTATTCACTGTACTGGGTCCTTTTATTTTGTTTGCTCATCTCTGTAGTTTTTCTCTCCTTTTTCCTATGAAGCTTTCTTTTCTTTCCTCTTTTTTTTTTTTTAAATCACTACTCTTTTTTCCAGGTGTATTTGTTGTTTTCTGGTGCTGCAGGAGAAACTAGACTTATTCATATGTACTCACTTCCACTACCATACCAGAAGCCACAACTCACTTCCAACACTGCCACTAAATCTCAATTTCTGTTCTCCCAGGTTTTAAAAAAAAATTAAGCCAATAATCATGCAATAAGTCATGTCTGAATTGAAGATTTTAAAAAATAAACAAAAAATTTCTCTTACCTCTTATGAATGGTAACAGATTCTCCTTTCCATTTTTTCTCAGGAATACTATAAAAGGATTGGCAAAAAAAAGGTTCAGATTTATATTTAGCCATAAAATAATAAAGTTCATTTAGAAATATTCTAAACTTATGACATACTTTACTAACATAATCAGTGCGATGTAGCGCATAGAGCACTGGATTTGGAATCAGACAACTTCAGTCCAAATTTCAGCTCTATTACTTACTACTACCACCTCTGTGACCACAGGAAAGACACAATATATATGGGCCTGTTTCCTTAATTTGTGGTGTGGAAATCAATAGCTTCCAAGGTCCCTTCAAACTCTAAATCTATAATTCCATAAGAAAAGTTTAAATGACACTTTAAATGGACAGTGTAAATAAAACAAAAAACAGAAAACAAAAACCTACTACATTGTGATGGGGTATGGGCCCAAGCCGAGACCTTTGCCCCTCACCCCAAAAAGAACTTGGGTCCCATTTGTCTATGGGCCCCAGAAAACCCTTGAACCCTATTTGAACCTTTACCTGGTCAAGGAAGTCTAGCAGTCCCCTGAAGTTATTCTTATTCTGGCTCTTCCTTGCCAGGGCCCTATGTCCAGGTTCTTGGTTTCCCTAATTAAGCCTAGCCCTCTACAGTCTATAGCCCTGGGTTATATTTCCCCTCTTTGATCTTATCCAGACCCCATTCAACCTCTTCCTTATCATCTAGGTTCTATCTTCCAGTTCTTTCTTACCCTAATAAAGCCTAGCTCTCCATTGTCTATTTCTGGATGACACCATTCAACCTCCCAGACACTCCCATCAGGAAGTCCTGATTTTGGAGTTTCAGCACCCCTAGCATCCAAACCTCAACAATTGTACTTGTTGTTGTTTGTCCTTCATTCTCTATCTTTCTCTCTCTCTTTTTTTTTAAGGCAATTGGGGTCAAGTTGAAGAGGTTTACCTACAATTCCCAGAAAAACCTTAAAACTTTGAGATTCCTTGTAGACTCACTTATCTCTCTTTGACAAAAAGAACCTGGCTTCAGTTTTGTTTACTGGTCCCAGAAAATCCTTAAAGTTTTAGAAACTGCCTTATTTCCCTTTGAAAGCCCTTGAAAGCAAACTTCCCCTTCCAGCTCCCTTCATTATCTATTCTCATTGTCAGTACAAATCACTCAGACATTCCAAACAGAAATTCTCACCTGGACCCTTTTCCAAATGATCCACCTCCCCCATCAACTGGCTTTCCCATTGTTCTGCCTTCCTGGCCATTCCCACCCTTAATCCTAGCTAGGCCCCAGTGTTCCTTTTGCCCCAGCTTGCTGGCCACCCCCATCCAGATCTCCCTAAACCCCTCCTCACCTCACCCCAAACTGCTTGGCCATTCTTTGGACCCCTCCTCCTGTCACTCAAACTGGATGGCCCCTCCCTCAGTCTGTACTTAAGGCTCACCTTTCCTCCATTCTGATGCTGAGCTGTTCTCAAGCTTAGAAGCTGAGAGCCCTCATGCTGGCCCAACCTAAGGGCGTCACCTGGCCTGACCACCCTAGCCCACGCTGAGCTTTCTAGACTGCCTCACACTGCTCGTCCTTGTGAGCGTCACCTGACCACCTTGAACCCTATTTAGATCACTTATGTTTGGGTTCCTTTGGAGTCTGGCCCATATGCTTATCTTTAATAAACTTTTTCTCTGGCTGGAAGAAGATCTGAGTTGAATTCATTCAGGCAGATCTGCACCGTGATTTAGGCTTTTTCCCACGATCGTGGGGTGCCTCTGTGCATCTAAGAGCACCCCAAAACCCCCACCCTCTTCAAAATGACTTGCCCAGGGTCACACAGCTAGTAAGTGTCAAGTGTTTGGTCTGAGGCCAGATTTGAACTCAGGTCATTAGCTGCCCCTGTCCTTCATTCTCAAAGAAGACCATTACATTGGGAAGGTGATGCCATGACTAGCATATGAATTGGATTTAAGCAAGGGAGAACTGTGCAAAGGTCCAGTGGCAAGATATAGATCAGGACTGGAGATAGCTCTGGAAGCAATGGAGACTTTGGCCTTTTTAAATTAAGGTCTTTCCCAGGTCTCAGTTTGACGGAGCCTAGCCCATTCAGTGATTAAGGCTAGGTAAGAAATGAGCAAAGAATGGCCTCTTTTACCTAGTTAAAAAAAAAAAATCAATCTGGGAGGGGAAGACCCTCATGGCCAAAACAGAAACAATTGCTAGTTACACTAACTCTGAACCACAGAAGCCCAAACAATGGCTAACCTGAATAGCTAAATGGCAGATTATACATTGAGTCTGACTCATTCTTCTCACTGATTTATGCATAGTACATAATATGGCAGAGTTAGAATGAGGAAATCTCAGATTTAAATCTAACACTTATTAATTATGTGACTGTGGACAAGTTGGCTTCCTGTCTGGAAAATGGGAAAAATAATGCCAGTAAAGGTATCTCTTTATAGGAAAGAAAGGACTGGTCTTGGAGTTAGAGAAAGATTTGGTGTTCAAGTCCTGCCTCTGACACAAGCCAACTGTGTGACCTATCAGTCCCTTAGGTAACTTTCTAAGACTTTAGATTATCAATATATTATAGGGTTTCCAAACTGAAACCCCAGTCCCCAAATATCTAATTACAATATTCTTCATGAGCCCTCAAGATCTCAGAACCATAAAAGATTTAGATCCTGTAGAGTCAGAGGCAGCATGAAGGAATTTCATGCATTTTTGCCAAGACTAGAGCTGAGTATGAAATCTGATATATAAACACAACCACAAGAGTCCACAGAAAACTAGAAAAGTAAATTTATTTGAGCAATTGGAAGGAGCTGTATGATGTTTCAGGACTAAGTGCGATAAAAGGGAAAAAACCTTTTGAGAACCTGAATACCCTCAAAGAATACTGAAGGGAGTTAAATAAGAAAAAAGAGGGCTGGTAGGTGGACTAACTGTTCTGAGGATATTGAGAAGAGAGAAAAGGAAGAGTAAAAGGAATATGCTAGTGCAGAAAGGAGGAAAGAGATAGAACTTGCTATTTCTAATATAAACTGGAACGCTTGAGAATTATATAAAAACATGGAGACTGGGGTAGGGGAAGTGGGCATCAGATGAACTTCAATCTTATTTAAAAGGAAAGTTGAACATGTGTACATAGACAGTTTGGTGTAGAAATATATCCACTTCAATAGAGAAATAAATTGAATAGAGGAGAGATTAGAGGTTAATACCAAGAAGGATAATACCAGAATATAAGAGGATACCTATCAACTAAGGAATGGCTGAACAAACTATTTTATATGAATGAACTATTAATAGGCTATAAAAAATGATGAAAAAAAAAGGACTGCAGAGGATCCTGGATAGTACGAACCGATACAGAGTAAAGTAAGCAGAACCAGGAGAACAATTTACATAAGCACAATATTGCAACAAACGGTTTGGTAAGACTTAAAAACTTTGACTGATGTAATAATGAACCATATTCCAGAAGACCTATGATGAAATGTTATCCACCTCCTGAACACAAAGGTGGAAGATTCAAGGTGCAGAAAGAGACAAAATGTTTGTATGTGGGCACTATTATGATGCATTTTGTTGTCCAATTGAGGGTATTGTGGGAGTTGAGTGAACCACACTTTAAACTGGCTCCATACTGGTCAGTTACTGTTTCTTTGTTACGTTGATTGAATATCAACACTAGGGTGGGAATTTTTTTCTGCTTTCAGGGAATTGTGCCTGTTCACTCTCTTTCTCTCAATTTAGAAAGCCCCTAATCTATCCTCTGATTAGAAATCAGATTACCTAATTTTGAATCCTGGTTAATTGGTTTTTTTTTAAATTAGTCTTATTTGATTGTTTTTAATGTGTAAAAATTTGTCTTCCATTGTATTTGGGATCCAGTGCCAAAGCTGAGGGGGCCTGATCTTGATTTCTTATGTAATTGGCATGTACTGTTTAACAGATTGATACGCTCAGAAGCTCAAACCATTGTTTCCTCAGTCATTTCAGATTTCACCCACCACACTATGCTCATTTGTTAAAAGAGTTTTGGTTTCGTCTTTCTCGTGGATTTTTAATGTTAGGGGATGAAAATGTGCGTACATGTGGGGGAGGGGTTGTAATATTGATGCCAAAAAAAAGAGAGCCACTAAAATATTTTTAAATTCAATAGAACAGAACATAAGGAAGTTCAGAAGGAAAAACAGACAAGCAAGAGTTTTGAATGTAACTTGTAGAATTTATTATATGCTACAAAACAAAGAAATAATAGAAAATGGAGAATCATGATTTCATATATAATCCACTTTTTGTGTTTGGTTCTATATATGGAAAAGTTTTTTTTAAGTTCAAAATTAAAAAAAAAAATTAAAACCCCAAAGAGATCATAAAAATGGGAAAAGGACCCACATGTACAAAAATATTTGTAGCAGTTCTTTTTGTGGTGGCAAAGAACTGGAAACTGAGGGGATGCCCATCAATTGGGGAATGGCTAAACAAGTTGTGGTATATGAATGTAATGGAATACTACTGTGTTACAAGAAATGATGAGCAGGTAGACTTCGAAAAAACCTGGAAAAACTTACATAACTGACGCAGAGTGATATGAGCAGAACCAGGAGAACACCGTACACAGTAATAGCCACACTGTGGGATGACTGTCTTTGACAGACTTGGCTCTTCACAGCAATGCAAGAATCTAAGACAATTCCAAAAGACTCATGATGGAAATTGCTATCCACATCCAGAGAAATAACTGTGGAGTCTGCATGCAGATGAAAGCACACTATTTGCTCTCCTTTTCCTTTGTTGTTTTGTTTTATTGCTTCATTCTTGTAGTTCTTCCCATTAGTTCTAATTGTTCTTTACATCATGACTAATGGGAAAATATGCTTAATATGAACGTATAAGTAGAGCCTATATCACATTGCATGCCATCTTGGGGCGGGAGAAAATTTAAAACGCAAAATCTTATGGAAATGAATGTTAAAAACTAAAAATAATTAATTATCAAGGGAAAAAATTAAAAAGGAAAGACAAATGTGGTAGACATATGTTATTCA